ATCCATATTAATTCAGCAATTTAAGGGCAATTATGGATCTAAAGTCAAAACAAACATTTCACATCACAACGTGATTAATGTAGACCAGTTTCTTACAAAGTTGATTGTATAAGCCATCATTGGACCCTGGTACAGTACAAATAATTTACGTCCAGAGATCAAACTTAACTGGACGAGACATGTGGGAACTTTTTCCAAGAGTTCACTGAACCGTTGCGTGAGTGAGACGACGTTATCAATTATTATCAGAAGCGTATACAGAATGTTGGTAAACAAACATACAAAATATTGAATTAATTTATCTCCAGTGTTGTATTGGAGCCTTATTTTGTTGGAACCTCTATGGCTAGAAAAAAAACGACGGGTTGCACTCCGAAAGTGCCGGCAGAAGTGAAAACTTGAATATTTACGTTGTGCTTTTTGATATTTTGGAATGGTTCGGCAATAATTTTGAACGAATTGCTTTAATTATCAGTATAAAAGTATTACCATTTATGTGGTAGAATACAATATTTATTTATTGCGCTATCGTACACAAACATGACAATTTATATTACATTAAATACGTCGCGCCAGCTGTCTACTCTTCATCCGTCTTACGAATTTTCGATCAGGTCACGTGTCCTGACGCGAGTTTAAAAATTTTTACCCATTCCAAAACTATATATATTAGTTAAAGTTTATAAACATTATATTTGTCTTGTGTTTACTGGAATGTAGTCATCATTTTTTTATCTATAGACAATTATATATTTCACATACAATTACTAACAATTTTAATGAAGTCCTGAGATATTTGTGTCGAATGTGAATAGTGGGGGCGGGGCTAGTAGAGCAGCTCGTACGTTTCGGGAACAAATTTAAAATTTAAGAATATCATGAAAAGGCGTTCTTTAGTTTCGGAAAAAGTTTACTGGTGATGGTTCGCTCCGCCATCGGAGTTAAAGAATGAAAAGGAACGTCATAAGCAAATCAACGAGTATGTCACCATATTATGATAGTGGAGGAAGTGAAAGAGGGGTAAGGACCGTAGCAACAATATATGTTCTCTATCTATCTCTTTGGGAAACAGGCGTAACTTATATTAATAGACTAGATGACTTTGTTTCACCAACATAAACTTGTGTCAAAACTTTTAAAACAGACCAAATATATCGGACCTCATACAGCATATTACATACTAATACTATGAAACACATATTTCTGAAAGCGTCTACAAATAAATAACAATCAAGTTACTAAAAAAAATGTGAAATTTAACAACTAAGAACAGTTTTTACTGGAAATTCAATTGTCGTTTTTAGTATTATTCTTTAATTGTTATTTACGTTTCCCACCGTTTAGACCTTCCCTGATCTTCTACAAATATCTTAAGATTATAATTAGCCAAATCGGTCAAGCCGTTCTCTAGTTTTAGCGAGACTAACGAATAGCAATTAATTTTTATATATATAGAAGATGACATGTCTGGCCTGTTTTATTTTTCAAGTCGCAGCCAGGAACAAATTATACATTCATCTAACCTAGGCCTAAGACACGATGTTTATTTCCACCTCCACCATTGACCTCAGGGTTGAGAACCCCATTCTATTCAGGCTAACATTAATCTAAATCCACTATTTAAGTTATGCTAAAAGCTTTCAAACGTATTTATAAACATCCTGTATAGCCAGCGGTACATATCCGTTACACCTGCGGTTGTCTCGCATCGCAATTGTAAAATCAATTTCTGATTGATATTGACTTTGATTTATTTAATAAATTATTTCGAAATTGGAAGATTGTTATTTAAATTTGCGTTCCGCAACCCCATCATGGGGGAACAACATGATACACGTGTCGGACATTTCAGTGTCTGTTTAAATTACCGTTTCCATGGTTGATTTATAACCTTATGTTCATGAAAGTCTCTTGTGTTAGCCAAAAAGGCAGGGGGCCTAGAATGGTAGTAATCCTTTAGAAACAGCGTATCATATTAAAAAGCCGGCAACACACTCGGGAGGCTTCTGGTACCTAGTATATACTATGGGCCCAACCCAAATAAAATAAATAAAACTTCTTTGGATATTCACAAAATAGATAAAGATACTTAGATGTATAATAATTTCGATAATAAAAAACAATTACCAATTACCAGGCATTAAAGGTACACTGCCAGAGGGACCAAACTTAATAAATTTGTTTTCATCAATTTTTAATTATTATTATTACATAGTGGGTAAAGAATATAGTTGCACAAATACTTGATATATATAATTGTCTCTAGATATTATTATTTTAAGCGTAAAAAAATTATTGCTTTATCGGGAAAAAATTTAGTGTAATTTTTTTTACGCGTCAGATTTTTTCGGTTACGCGCCATGTTGCTTTTGAAGTCAAACACTTATCGGCTTGGTGTCTTGACGTATGGGAGAATATTTAGCAATCGTGACGTTATGATAGTAATTCTATACAATAATGAAATATATTATTTATAATTAGTTATAGAAAGAAATATTTGTAAAATGTTAATTTATTAATTTAAGGAATTACTGTAAAGTTGCATAGTAGATCATTTTTAAAAATAAGAAATAAAGAGTTATTTTACGTTTACAGTACACGCACATACTTGATATTTTTAATGAAATCTAAACGGTTATAGAAGCACAGGTATTTTGTCTTGTTTACAAGTAGTTGATAGCTCCTGATTACAATCACACAAATAATCCGACAGGAGAAAGACATCATATGTTATTCTAAATTTAGTATATCTATAGAACGCTCACCACCTGTTTTTATGGTATGTGATTTTCTGTGGCGCAATGTATGGGAATGGGCGATTTGAATATTATACTAATATCATGGCACCAGCCAATTAGGTACACGCTACAACTCCATGACAGATAAAGCGATGTTTGTTATTAGCGATCGTGTTGATGAGATTAACTGGGTTTGATCATTTTGTCAACGATGAAATATACAATGTTATTTAAAAGTACATTTCAAATTGAAATAATTTCGTCATTTCAGGAAATGTTTAGCCATTTAATAAAATCAGGCTACGACACTGTTTCATCTAAAACTGCTACCCCCTATTTCAGCAAAAACAAATCCAATTGCACCGTTTATCTAACTAACTCTATCTCTTTTCATCGCAGCGTGAACAAAATTTGTCAGAAAGAAACGAAAACTTATCCTTTTTCATCAAAAAACAAATCCAATCGCACCTTTTAACTTTCTTCATCCACAAACAGACCATCTTTTCATCAAAACCTATTCAATCACACATTTTAACTAACTTTGTCTCTTTTCATTGCATCGTAAACAGAATTTGACAGAAGGAGACGAAAAGTAGTCTAATTATACATTAAGCTTTTAGGCAAAAGAAGGTGCGTTTAAAAACAGCAATAATATTTTTATAAGTACTAATATACTTACTTTATGTCATATGAAAATTGTAACTCATTCGGTAAAAAGACGCGATTTCTCTTCATTTGAACCGTTCTTTAAATATCATGCTACTTCATTTTTGAATTATAATCTTGCTCTGAGCTCAGATTTAATATATGTAACAATATATTTTTAGTTATATCACCTTGTATTATATTTCAAAGTAGTCATAGATTTTACTTTGCCTTTGGTAGTATTATGGCAATGAGGAGTCTTAGGTTCTATTCCCGTGTTTGAGTGCTTTTCGTTCCAAGTGCGCATTTAACATTCGGGCATTAAGGTAAATAAAGTTACTGCATTCCGTAGACTGAAATAGTCAACGGCGTCAGGCACAAAAAGTTGATTGTTTACTTGCCTATTAAAGAAAGCAATTTATCGAACCAGATACAGAGTCCAAGGCCACTTGTATAAGGGCATAATCTATTACCATGTGTGGGCTGACCGGTGGCAAAATTGATTTTAATTTCTAACAAATGATTACCTTACAATATTTTTCTTTACCGTGTATTGCGCTCATATGAAAATGTGTTTATTCATTTGACAACAATTCATTATAATGTGTAAGATTTGGGAACCCTTTTAAGTAAAAATATACCTGAGTCAGGGTTCCTAGCTCTTCCATAACAAACTTAATAGTAAATTACATATAAATTATGTATTATAAATGAATATAGGTATATTAAATAATATACGTTTTTTGTGCATAGTCGGTATAAGTGACCAAAGGATTATGCCTCGTACGCTTGACCACCGAAACTGCTCCTATGAATTGTTCTAATGTATTGTTGTATGTTTGGATGTAGGTAGTTTTTAAATTAACATATAATTATGTGTCACCCATATAAACACTTCATATAATGAATATCAGTTTAATTGCACCATTTTTACTAAAGTAATCTGTCTCATCGCAGCGTAAACACAATATGACAAAATGAGACAAAACATGAGTGAAAAGAGTTAGATTGATTTTGTTATGATAATGTGACAATTATGCATTCAGCTCCTTACAATTAAGTTAAATTAAAACGTAGGTACCTAGTTATGACAAAAAAATAAAACTTGACTATTATTCCCATTAAAAATCATTGTAAATACATAGTTTTAAATCTTTCGTGCAAAATCTAAAATCTCTTTACGTAGTTGTTTTAGAGGCATAATGTTAATCATAAAAAGAGAAATAATTTTCTTTTATGTTTAGTTTTAAAACCGTATAATATTTAATTTCATTTATTTGAGTTTCAAAGTTTTTACTCGTTGAAATCTTAAGTTTCTTTAACCACGTCGCTATCTTTTTAATTAAGTGTTAATTTAAACCAAACTTTAACAGCTCATTAAATTATTTAAATATAAGGTAGTTAAAAACTTTATGTTTCCGCCCCAACATCGCTCTAACATAGTTTAACAAATATATATTTAAGCAAAGCAAATAACAAGGGCCATTAGACAAAACATTTTAATTTTAAACCACCAAAACCCCACTGCGCCACCAACACTTGCTCTGGGGCGCTAACAGAACCTTGTCCGCGCCCCACCACGAGGCCACCTCCTTCGTGGGTTCTCCGCGGGCACGAATGATTTCTGATGACTCTTGTTACTGCAAGTTCTCAAATGAGATGTTGAGAGGCGGTTATGGGAGTGACCCTGTCCTACGTAATTTTGAGCTGGGAGTGCGAGGTCAGTTTGCTGTGCGCTGGAAAGATGTTACCAGCATCCTTTTTTTTCATTACAAACAATTGATAGGAGTCTAAGAAGCTTGCAGATGCCCGTCTGCCGGGGAAAATCCACCCTTGTTTATTAGGTTACATTTTGATAATATTTGTGGTACTACAAATATTCGTTTAGCCAGGAGATACATAAAAGACGATTTTCGATTTATGTCTTTAGATCTATTTTTTATTCTATAAAATTACGAGCAACTCTTTCTCGTGATAACGTCACGGGAATTCCTCGTTTGAAAATAATCTGCATTTTATGCTGCAAAGCTTATCAAGATAGCAAGAATATCTAATACGATAGTTATAATTTTAATTAAAAGAAAATGGAAATTTTAAAAAAAAAAAAAAGGGGGGGGGAAAAAAAAAAAAACGGGGGGGGTTTTGTAAAGAGGGGGGGAAAAATTCCCCGAGGGGAAAAAAACCCCCCCCCCCCCCCCCCCCCCCCCCCCCCCCCCCCCCCCCCCCCCCCCCCCCCCCCCCCCCCCCCCCCCCAAAATTTTTTTTTTTTTTTTTTTTTTTTTTTTTTTTTTTTTTTTTTTTTTTTTTTTTTTTTTTTTTTTTTTTTTTTTTTTTTAATTATTTATTTATTTGGTAATAAATAAATATACATTTTATTTAACTTTTACGACTAAACCCTGCTAATCAGATACGGAGCTCAATCATTTCTGAAAATATTTATCGATCAGTAAAGTAATGTTTCGCCATAAATAAACTTATAATAAACTATTGGCGTAAGACCAAACCACGGAGACCCGCCGTTTACTTATAAAATACTAACAAATATATACGTAGTAAATGTTAATAAGTCTCTCTATTGTTTCAGCTATAAAAGAAAATGCGCTGAACACAAATGGCTGTACATGGATTTTTCACACCCTAAACAAAATGTATCAGCACAATAACGAACTCAAATCAAAGGAAACAAGGACAAGAGTAACGACTAGGCGTTCAAATACATTGTTCATTTTACTAAGGACAGTGCTAGACGTTGTTGTAGTGAGCAAGCAATGGATGGTTTGTCTATTAATAGTGTCAGTGTGTGCGAAGGAACAGAAGTTCGCGTTGGAGCCACAAGATCAGGTATGTTCTGGTATACTATACATGTATATTTGTACTTTCTATGCATTAGGACGGCGGACTTTAAGCGACTAAAGAATTGGCTATCAAGGGAGTTTTTCATGCTTGCTTCGTTAAACTGAAATAAGCATATAGAAATTCGCAATAAATAAAAGGAAGTGAATATTTTTAACAGAGTTATTCTGAGATTATTCTGTAAAGTGACGAAACCCTTCAGGCAATTCACCGGAAGTTTGAGAAATGTGGTCGCAATCGTACACGTTCGACGCGTAACGTGATAGATTCAATAAAAGTCGTGCCTGCTATAGAGAAAATATTACGGAGTTATTAATAATACTTACTGTCCATAAATCTCAGTAGGCTTACGAGTAGTTTTAAACAAAAATTCTAAGTAAAAAAATCGCCGCACGTTTTGCCTACGTTAAGTATTTTATTCAGTCTTCGTGCTGACTACATTAAAAACAATGGAATTGAACAAATTTCGTTAAAGCGTCAAAGATACGAAATAAATTTCTATATTACTAGTTAAAATTGCTACAATAGGCTATAAATAAAACTCATAACAAATATCTACTACACACTAAGGCTATGTTCAGATGGCAAAAACATGACGCGCGTTTTCAAATCGCGCGACTAGACATTGTGGTATTTTCATACAACTGTTTACATGAGCGCGCGTTAACGCGCGTCAACGCGGCGCTCAGAGAAAAAGTCTCTAGACGCAGGTGATCGCGCGTTGACGCGCGCTTTGATATTAATGTAATGTCCGTTTGCTGTTCAGATGAGCGCGCGCTTTCATCGCGATCGCATGTAATTTTGTTAATTTTCGTAATAATATTTTGTTCTCGCATTTAAAATGAGTGAAATTGAAGATATTGACATCGACTTACTGATCGATGAAGTAGAAAAAAGGTCAGCAAGTTGGAATATAGCAAATTTGTATAAAAAATATAATATAATTTGTATTTTTTTTCAAAAATGGATGTACCCAATGTGTACGTTTTCTTTTTCTATATAATATAACCACAAAATAATAGCCTCCTCCACGTCCATTTTCTACGTTCTACCGAGCTAGACTGACGAGTACTCTCGCAACGCGCGTTAGCGCTCATCATCTGAACGCTCTCCAAATTTGATCGCGCGTTGACGCGCGTTACATGTGAACATAGCCTAAGGCATCTGAAGAATTTTAATATCGGCATATCCAAGATGTCAACTCGCGAGGTAACGAATAACAAAAACTTTGATTTATGAATCTCCTAAATTAATATTCTGAGGTCCGAACTTTGATTTTGGGACTTCCTGAGGGACTCTTGATTTATTTATTGGCCCTTGGACCTTTTGAATCTAGTTAACTAATTGGAAATTTGTAGATTTATCCTCTTAGGAGTTAAGGGATAAAACTGAATATTCTATTGTTAAGAGTTTATAAGCGTTTGAATCGAGCATCTTGACCATATACTTATACGACAATTATATTATTATCCTTATACATAGTTCTATAACATAAAACCTCTTTAGTGTTTTTCATAGAGAATTACATAACCAATGATTTTTGGATTAACTTGTTACAGTACATTAATATATAATATATACGTATGTATAATAGGAGTTACCCACGCGAACTAGGTACATTTTGCCATGTTACCCCAGAAAGAAAACGATCAGACTTTTTTCATGAATAAAAACTTAAGTACTAAATAAAACTAAATTATTCAATTAATTTTTTATATGTTTCCCATAACAACATTCATCAGAGCTCATGGAAATATAAGAAGAAAAATACTCGTATTGGTCCAGCCATCTTCAAGTTTTGCGCCTAGCAACATTTTTTAGGGATAATTTGAACAACTAAGCGTTCTTTCTGTTTATTCATAACTTTGATTATTAATATTAGGAATATTTTAAGTGCAGCAACAAAACTTTTCGTAAGCTTTTTGTAGGGATTCAACGCATGATCAGCGTTCTTTTATTAACTTTTAATCGATTGCTTTTATAGAGTGCTGTAGTAGGGGGAAGAGTAATCCTGCCATGTCGGGTGGTGAATAAAGTCGGCCAACTCCAATGGACCAAAGACGACTTTGGGCTTGGCACACACAGACATCTTTCAGGCTACGAACGGTATAAGATGATTGGAAGCGATGAAGAGGGTGAGAAAACTATTTTTTTTACTTATTAGACTGGTGTTTTTCTTCCGTGATACTTGATACAACGTCGTGATACTTCCGTATTAGAAATGTATAAGATCTTACCCTAGTCATATGTCGAAATTACGCGTTTTGTTCTTCAGCTTTTATCTTGTAAAATAGGGAGGGTTCCAATCCCTAGCAGTACAAGAAACAAGAGTGAAACCATCTGAACCTATGCTTACAAATACCACGGTGCGCATAGTATATCCTGAATGTCTTGGGTTGCCCGTGACTCTTTTTTTTTCTTCTGTGGAGGCAAACGGGCAGGGGACTCACCTGATAGGTGATACCGCCGCCCATGGACACTAACATTTGCTAGAAGGCTTGCAAGTGCGTTGCCGGTCTTTTTTATGAGGCCGGCAGATCAAAATGCTAATCCCAAACACCTTAGAATATGTAAATAGTCGTAATGTGCATATTATTTATCCTGTTTTTATTTCAGGGGATTATTCATTGGACATCAGGGACGTGACATTGGATGATGATGCCATGTACCAATGTCAGGTCAGCACAGGTCCAAGAGGTTAGTAAAAATAAAATAATTAACATTAACTAAGGTTGTTAGAACTTGTATTAATGAGACCTATTAATACAAGTTGGAACGAACAAATACAACTGTTCGAAATTAATATTTTTTACTAATTTTATTGAGGGTACATAATTTGACACTTTGAGTACCTACATAGTTTGACGCGCCGATCGCCATATTTGATTTTACATTCATCGTTTGCTTTTATTACACGCTTTATATTAGCTTCACCTGTATGTCTGTATGTATGTATGTATGTAACCGACCCCTTCGGACTCGATTTTGACCCACATTAAACGGACAGATTTAATTCAAACTTTGTACACTTATAAAGAATCAGCGACAATATAATAATTTCATAGGTTTATCTCAAAAAAACAATGAATTATTTTTTAAGTCCACAAAGCAATACGATTAAATTGAGACAACACGTATTGCTGCTAGGACTAAAAAATAAAAAATAAATAATAGTTAAAAAAAAACTAAAAAACACGCTTTTAAAGCACATCAAACTAAAAAGTGAAAAATAATTCCTAATTTAGGCTGAAAATGGTAATGAACAAAAAATACTGTGCCATATTTTTCGTCTATAGAGCAACCCACGCTTTTTCACAATAATACCAGTATTTTTTGTTCATTACCATTTTCAGTCTAAATTAGGAATTATTTCTTTGTAACTAAAAAGAAGTATACTGTCTATAAAACTTCTTTAACCATTTTTGTTTATTGATTTTTATATAAATATTCCCTACATTTCCGTTGACTTTTTTCGCGTTACAGAAAACATAAAAAAGTTACCATAAAACAAAAAAATGTTATGATTGTAAAACCTGAACACATGAACTTGTTTACAATTCTAAATTTGAAATATTAGCCCTTCCGCCAACTTTTTGCCACTTCCGCCCAAATAGTTTGTACATGTGTTACGCCTAAAAACTTGTTTATTAATTACGGTTATGTGAATTTGGGTTAGCCGAAACTTTAACGTAATAATGTTAAGTTAATTTTCATATTACGTAGTTATATGGCATGTATTGTGGGTGTAACTTCGAAAGATTTTTAACTACATTCTAGGCGAAATTGCGTCGCATTGTAAACCTCTTTCGGTCTAATATGTCTCCAAAATTCTGACTTCACTGCGACTATATAATATCTATTGGTAAAGGTATATTTAATTAGAAAATTAATGTTGTATCAATATAAATATAATTATATATATTATACTAGCTGACCCGGCAAACGTTGATTTGCCGTATATATTATTTCTAGGAAACAATTTAAGTGAAATATAGTTCAATAAAAATGACTTTCTACAATAATAAAAAATAGGGGTTGCTCTTAGAGGGGTGAAAATTAGGAGTTGTATGTATTTTTGTATGCTGTATCATAAAAAAAATTAAAACAAAAAAATTGTCTAAAACATAAAAAATAAATTTTTGGGCTGGACACCCCTTATCACTTAGTAGTTTGAAATATAGATAGTAGCCGATTCCCAGACTTACTGAATATGCATAAAAAATTTCATAAGAATCGGTCAAGCCGTTTCGGAGGAGTATGGAAACGAACATTGTGACACGTGAATTTTATATATCAGATAGAGAGAGATATATATATAGGGTATCAGTAGCAATGGCGATTTTACTTTTAAGTTTAGATGGTGAGTTCATCTTTGTAGCATTGGCAAGGAAAAAGCCCATCATGCATTATTTGGTTATTTAAGCAACTTAAGAAAATTCTAACACATCTTGCTATTATTGTCTTGAACGTTCAACATTTAAGTTGGACTAGAACTTCTAATAATCTCTTAATTTTGTTAAAATTAAATAGAGAACTTTGTATATCTGAACGATTTTTTTAAATCAGTTAGGTAGCTTAGAAGCACTTAGTATTGTATTCATCCCTAGGGATTGAACTTAGGATTGATCCTAAACCCACGAACTTATTTGCGCTAAAGCAGTTTAAATAGACATAGTAGTCTTTTAAACCATTTTTGAGAAATTGGCCTCATTAGAGAAATTTCACGCCTGAAATTAAATGACGTCAATTACCGTCGTGTTTCGCGTAAAATGCAAAAGTTATAAAATAATATTTTTAATAATAAAACTTCGTGATAAGGATCACGCTGAAAAAGCGTTATATTTCTTCAGTGTTTATTATCTCTAATTTTCTGTTCTCATAGTAATTTAATATTACCTACAAACATTAAACTAAAAAATAAAATAAGGCAACTTAATATCCTTTTTATGAGTTTTTAATATGCAACTCTGATCTTACTAATGATATTAATAAATGGACTGTATCGTCCGACAAATAGAAAATATTATAACACATTTCATATATTTCTTTCGTTGCCATTTTAGATTTTTTTCTTATGTCAATATAATCATGGTGTAAATTTGTGGTAGTTCTTGTTTTACTTTCAGTTAGTGTTAATAGCAAGCCTCTTTAATATTGTTGTTTATGAGTTTAATAGTAATATAATATAAATATACTTAAGAAACAATAACTCACCTTAAACTATAATAACTAAAATGTATTATGAAGTTACTCTTTAGGAAAGGTTCCGAAGATACTGACAGCATTCCCCCTTTGAATAGTTCAACTAATTCTGTGTCAGAGGTGTCTGCCAGCTCTTCGGTCTCCTGTGATGTCGAGTAACCTTATTGCTATTTCCTTAAAAAGCCTTATAGCGCTAGGAGACCACGGACCAAGAATTAATGTTAATTAATTATTACATAACGTCATATATTCCTGATTGACCTATAGGTAAGACCATATCAATACAATTTATTTAATATATCCTACGTATATTTTTTCATCTTCTTAAAAAACATTGTTAACAAATATTTTGTTTACCAATTGGCTAGTTTCCTAAATTGAGGACAGCATTAATTTCCCCCGAAGCCGCTAATTCTAATATATCGTTGTGGTTAAAGCAACAATAAGAAACATGGTCAAGCTCGGACCGACCGACATGCTGGACCAAATACAAGGAAGGAGTAATGGAAAATGTTTAGCTTTTTAAATAGTATACTTCTATCCCTTAATATTATTCTTGTATCCAAACAACCCCTTACCCATATTATCCTAACAAGAATACAATTTAATCAAAAAAATATTAACGTCCTTTTGTCGTTTCGAAGTTTCTAACGAAGTTAGACTTCACTTGCCGAAGTAAATTTAACTTTGCGTCGTCGACTTAAAGTTGTTTATTGAGTTAGTTGTCTTTTCAAATGCCCTTATCTTAATTTCAAAAGCCCTACAAGTTACAGCAATTACTAATTTTCTAACTTCTAGATAAAGTGATTCATTTGAATGGTTATAAGGGTCCAAGTTTTGGCCCTTATTGGGTTTCAGAATTGCTCCTTTTTTATGAAATTACTAAAGTGCTGTATGTGGAAGGACTTATAGTATTAGAGTTTCTGTGTCTTGATATTTCATGTTCCTAATTTTGCTGTGTTGAAAACACGTTATTATAGTTAGATAGTAATCGTCTAGATAATTGAGAAGAGAAAATGAAATAACTCAGATTTCATTTAATTTTTATTTATTAACTCACTTCAAAAACCCGTTTTTTATATAATAAAATGCAAGCAACTTATGGTGTATTTCTACGACGTGTCCATCTAGAATTTATTATTTAATATAACACAGGCCATTTTAATGAAGTCTTCTATTTTTTTTATTATTCTCTAATCGCTGCAAATACTTTTTCTTCACATTTTATACGTATCTCTCATATAAATACTAGCTGTTAATTTAAATAATTATAGTTTTAGCCGGGAAGCGATCTCTAACTCCGTTGTCGACGAAATAGATAGTAACCAAGCAACAGATGGGGTTTTATAAAAATAGTATAAACATTTATGTTTTTAGTTGATATTACTTATTCATGATTTTATTTGTATATGACACATGTCCCCCAAGTAGAGAATTCGTTGAATAATTCAAGACACTGAAGAGGTAACTAGCTCGTGATATAATGATTCCCCTAAGTCACATTTTGTTCGCGGGGTTTCGGAATATAAGGCTTCAGAATATTAGTCAGCGTTTTGTGAACAGATTCGTACTTGTGTTACAGTAATACTCAATATAAATGTGATTTTTACTACCTACCAATATTACAACAAATATTTGTGCTTAATTTTTACGATTGGAGCATACATTAGCTTATGCATTATTTCAAACGTTAAAGGTGTTGGTATAAAGAGGTTTTAATTTTACCTTACCAAGGTTTGCGGACATAATTATAAACGTAGCGTCAAGCTCAATAAGTTGAAAAATATTGTTACATTTTTATTTGCATTTGTCAAGGATTAACTATTTATAGAACAAAGGAGTTTTGTATAAGAGTAATCAAATATACAGTATTTACAGTTTTCTTAACCTACATAGTAGTAATAAAGATAATTAAAAGAAAAAACTGTTTGACCGGATTGAAGTTATGTATTATTATAAATTTACAACTATTTAACATAATTTTAAATTTATCCGACGTTTCGCGTGCTTTACAGCGTGCGTCACCGTGACCACGCACGCTTCAATCCGGTCAAACAGTTTTTTCTTTAAATGTGTAAAGGTTATGTAAATCAAAGACAATACTAAGATAATTAAAGATTAATAAAAGTGGCCGTGTACCTTTGACGCTCGCAGCATTTCCTCGCTGTATTGCAATACTTATTCGTTGCGCGAGGAAAACACTAGCTCTGGGGTCACCGGTACTATCTACCAGGCGCCAACATACATCTTTAATTAGCGCCTGTGCACTTGAACCCTACGGCCTACGAGTCTACTCCAAAGGGAACAAAATCGAAGTAGGTAGAAAGCTTTTTTGCTTTTTTTGGAGGTAAGTCGGGGCAAACGTGTCCACACAAGTAGCATCCCATCAGCGCCCTTTTTAGGGACCCGGGTGGGTTGGGGGGGGGGGGGGGGGGGGGTTGGGGGGGGGGTTTTTTTGATTATAAGAATTTTCAAAAGCTTCCCAATGACTTTGG